AAAAAAAATTGACAATATAATAATAAAAGAAGTCCATTTAGATCATTGTAGAGTCATATCAGTCAGTTTAGGTAGCTAAGTACGCCTATTCTGTAGAAGAACTTATTATGTGCAGGACGGTGATCAAAGATATACGTCAAAATTCGTGAGAGAATAACTTCGTGAGCAAAATTTTGAATTAACACAGTGGTCAGCACACAGCTTCGACATCAATTCGAACGATAATTTGGAGCCAATCGCAAAGAGGGAGGTGGGACAGTAACAATCAGCCCCTAATAATTTAGACGAACTTTGGTAGTGGATCTGAGGTGATTGGAAGAATAATTCCAATGAAATTTTACTAAAATTGGTTGAAAATATGTCAAATTGCATAAATGATACATTAAAAATATAAAACTACGGTATAATTAATAAAAATATTCAAATTCTGCAAATTTGTTCAAAAGTGCAAAAGTGAGTACATTGGGGTTGATTTACTTTTCTCAGTTTTTTCTTAGAAATTAAAGAGTTAAATTCTTTAACTTTAGGTTGATTTGTTAGGTACGAAATACATTATAAAATACAACCAAAATTTTGGAATTTGCTTTTATATTTTTATTTTTATGACGTAAAAAGTGTCCAATGTACAAGCATGTACTCATTTCTGCTCGTCACTGTATATATATATATGAATATTTCGATGAGTTACAAACGGAATGACAAAATTAATGTACCCTCCATACTTTAGTGGAGGGTATAAAAACGAAGCTGAATTACAGAGAATTTTGTTGAAAAAGGAGCCTATCCGAAAAAGAGAACCTTTATTTATAAATAATAGTGGATATATTTGGTACCCAATAATAACCCAAAGTACCTAGCAAAATCGATTGTAAAACGAACGTTAAATCAGTGGAATTTTTATCACATAACATATCTTGACATTTAGGAACACCCAAACATAATAGACCTCCCAAATGTAATGTCTTATTATTTTGTATACACTCGAAATAAACGACATCCCATAGACCAACGGAATCTCCAGGTTCCAATGTTTTATTCCCAGTGATGTGCCTTCGTGCAGTGACATCAACTAGGTCTAATGAGATGCGACACCTTTCGCCGTCATCAACTACTGCTGGCGTATTAGTATTTCGTTTGACGGGGCCATTGCAACGTTTCGGTATACAATCGCGATTATTACAGGTCCATTGCCTTTTGCCACCATCTGTCAATACTGATGATATGTGCATTGCAACAAAAATATATTAATATATTCGACATTAATAAAATAAGTATATAATGTTATTATACCCTACACAACTATGTTGTCAGTTTGTAACACCGTGAAATATTGGTCCTAGACCCACCTTTAAGTATACCGATCGTCATATCTCGACTAGCTGAGTCGATCTAGACATGTGTGTCCGTCCGTCTGTCCATTATAATTTGTAAACACGATACAGGCCACAGTTATGGACCAATCTTCACGAAATTTTGCATGTAGGATGGGTTCTGGCCAATGAAGACCCCTATTGTTTTTGGGAAAGATCGGTTAATATTTAGGGGATGAAATGGACCAAATACTAAATTTTTGTCGATTTTTCTGGTCGCTACAGAGGCCGCAATAATGGCCCGAACATCGCGAAATTTTATATGGAGAAGGGGATCGGGCCAAAGAATAAACATGCCTGTTTTCATAAAGATCGGTCAATATTTAGCGGGTGAAATGGACCCTGAGTTTTGTGTGAAAAATGACAATGTTTGTATTCTATAGCGTATATATTTACCCCTGAATGACATAGACCCGAGAAGTTTATATTATATCCAAGAGGAGTGGTTGACCTTTAAATTAATACCAATTATATTGTTGTACGTGCTCGGACGTGGGAGTTACACGTAAATATTAACAGGTATCTCTGTATTCGTATATTATGTAGTAACCCATTATCACTCTAGAGAGCGGAACTATAGCGCTGATCGCTTTGAAATGTTCCATGAGGTTCCAGTTATGGTCAAGGACAACGCCTATAATTTTCGGTGATGATCAGATAATAATTTTGGAATGAAGTGGACCGAAAACTTAATTTTTGTGTTATTTTCGAGTCGATCTATAGACCACAAATGAAAGCCGAACATCACAACACAACCCACGGTGACTGGAATCTGGACAATAGCTGTACTGAATACTCGTAATATGCGGAAAATATGTCAGTGTGAGGAAGAGGTGCTGTTTACCTCTAATCGGGCAAGAGGGTGCAAATATCACGAAATATTGCCCAGGCTGGGAATAAACATCCGCAGAAAATTTGAGTTCCGTGGTAGTTGCGTAAGGTATCGTATGGTCGCCCCGTCCGACTATACTGCTCCGCTCACTGGTTTCATAATATGAATGTAGTCGTTTGAAAGATTTACTTGCTTCTCAAAATATTCTACATAATGTAGCAGACCCTTTTGGATTTCCTAAAGAATGTGTAAATGTCAAAAATTTTAGAAAATATATTTCGAATCTTTGAAGCTGCATTTGAACTTAATTTTAAAAATGTGAAAAGAACAATGAATGTATACCGCAAAAATGAATTGAATTGAATTGATTTAAAAATCTTCTGTACTCCATTATAATTACCTGACATGTTAGACGCACCGTAATATTCTTTAGATACCTTGTCAAAAAGCAGATGAGACTGTATATGTATAGCTTCATCCGCTAAAATCGATACGAGTTTTTCACTTCTTTAACAATAGACTTCTGCTGGCAGGTACTTGAAATGAAAATATAGGGAGCATAGCAAAAAGTGGACCTATACTGACATTTCTATAAAGCGATTATTTAAACCGTAATGTACACGAAATACAAATTTAAACAATTTTTAATGGATATTTATACCCTCAGCCTTATGACTAATGAGGGTTTATACATTTTGATACGGTGAAAATGTGCCTAATCGAAATGTTGGTTCTAGATCCCATGATTCTTTGGATCAAATCCATATCAGAAAATTTCGATTCCATTCAAACTTTGCACATCTTATTATTTCTTCAAAACTTAGTTTAAGTTCGAAGATGGGGAATATCGATCCGCTCCTTCTGGTACATCCGCACTAAATGGTCAAAATTGGGCAAAAAATTAATTGTATAATATCATTCGAACGGACTATCCTATTTGAACCAAACTATGTTCAACCTATTATCTTAACCAAGCCAATATCAAGTAGGAATATGAGATACATTAGTCCACTCCTTCAGGTAGCTTCCCCACAAAGGGACAATATTTATAAATCCAATATCAGGCGAATGGAAAGTCCGTTTTGAACCAAACTTTGCACAACCTATTATATTTATGCCACGGCAACGCTGACTAACACTTTTTATGCTTGATTTCCTAAAAACACCAAAAAGTGGACCGACATTGGCGACGCATGGTAGAGTGGAACATCCCAAAAATACTGCAATTTAAAGGGCACACTTATATGAGGCCATGACCAACGTACCCAGGATTTATTTCGGGGGGTTGGGTGGAAGCTGATGTTTCAATACGAATACCTTAATCGGGACCAATGTTGATTACATCATTTAGAAATTACAGAACATTTGTAGCTATCATTATATGGTGTGCTATATTATTTGGGGACTGATATAGCTCTATTTCGAAAATAAATTTTTGCATAAGAATACATTTCTGTACGATAAATTAAAAAAAAAATCCCAAAAATCGGTAGGTATCATTATATGAGGGCTAGCCTATAGTTCATATGTAGTTCATAATCGAACCTAAAGTTCTAGCCTTTTGTCTAGATATCCTCCGCATGCGAAATAATTACAACAGAGTCTTGGAACCAAAACGCGGAACAAATCAAATAACTATTTTTATAAAAAAAAGGATTTATATGGGGACTACCACAAAATTCGATTGAAAAACGCGCTAATAAACCCCAAAATACCGAAAATTGGGGTACCCTTATATGGGAGCTATGCCAAAACGTTAGCCAATATACCTCACCTTCGAACTTGGCCTGCCTGCAGACAAAAGACAACACTATGTAAAATTTCAGCACCCTATCTCAATTCCTTTAGAAGATGATTACAATAGACGGACGGACATGGCTAGAACCTTTATTTATAAATAATAGTGGATAGATTTGGTACCCAATAATAACCCAAAGTACCTAGCAAAATCGATTGTAAAACGAACGTTAAATCAGTGGAATTTTTATCACATAACATATCTTGACATTTAGGAACACCCAAACATAATAGACCTCCAAAATATAATGTCTTATTATTTTGTATACACTCGAAATAAACGACATCCCATAGACCAACGAAATCTCCAGGTTCCAATGTTTTATTCCCAGTTATGTGCCTTCGTGCAGTGACATCAACTAGGTCTAATGAGATGCGACACCTTTCGCCGTCATCAATTACTGCTGGCGTATTAGTATTTCGTTTGACGGGGCCATTGCAACGTTTTTGAATCCGTATATAATCGCGATTATTACAGGCCCATTGCCTTTTGCCACCATCTGTCAATACTGATGATATGTGCATTGCAACAAATAAATAATGTTATTCGAATTTGCTATAAAATTAATTAAGAATGCATGTGGTACCAGGTACTTCCGCAGCGGGAGTGCCCAGGATGTCTCGTCCAATTTTTTTATACAATTAATTTATTTATATATTTCTTTAACATTTCAAATAGCCTACGCACGGAATTCTTCGTATCACGAATATTGCACATATTATTTTAAAAATGACTTTAGTTTTGAACATTCTAATCAGAATTAGAATTGTGTTGAACAAAAATACTGAGGAATCATCATTAAAGATACGATTGATGATTGGTCCCTTGGTCATTGAAAGAATCATAATAATCAAACTAAGGCTTTTATTAGCCTTTGAAAAATCTTTATAAAATCCACTTATGTGATCCTTGGAAAATAGACTTTAAATTTCGGTACTTTAAAACAATAATATAAAAAATGCCAACATTAAATCTCTAGAATTGTTATCACTCCACTTACCTTGACATTTAGGAATTGTTTCATTAAATTCTCCGCCCAAACATAATAAGGTTCCCATATATATTGTCTTATTACTTTGTATACATTCGAAATGAACGGGTTCCCATTGGTCAACGAAATCTCCAGGTTCCAATGTTGTATTCCGCATTATGTGCCTTCGTGCAGTGACACCTATTAGGTCCAATGGGATACGACACCTTTCGCCATCATCAACCATTGCATTTGTGTTCCGTTTGACGGGGCCATTAACAGGTTTTTCTATCGGTATACAATCGCAATCAGGCAATAAAAAACTATAAAAAATTGATATATTCAAAATTACTGTAAGAAGTATATAGAACTGAATACAATCGGAAATGTTTGTGGTATCAAAGACCTACCCAGCTGAATTTTATGTCTGAATTTTTTTTCCATACCACATATATATATATATATTTATATATATATATATATATATATATATTTTATATATATATATATATATATATATATTATATATTTAAAAATAATTTTAGTTTTGAACATTTTTAATGATGCCAATTTTTATTTTTATTTATTTTTTTTTTAATTTTAATAATTATTATGATATTTTTTTATATATAATTTTTATTTTCTTCAATGTCTTATAGCAAACGAGCGAATGAATATCCGCTTTCTTGTGAAATCCACAGAACACTGATTTAAAAGAAACTCCCAACTGCATTTATAACAAACCTCCGAACTAGAATTGAGATGAACAAAACACTATGGAAACAGCATTAAAGATAAGAATACGTGGTATAAACCCCGTTGGGATTTTACAAAGGTTATCAGCGAAATCGTAGGTGACTGATGCTCATCTGTTCCTGCAAGTATCTGCAATTAATTGATATTGTGTATTTACGATTTTGGTACCTTCCACAATAGTATGGAGATTATATTTTTTAATCGATGTAATCGATATAAAATACAATGACGACTCCGACGTGTCCGTTGCAATAAACGAATTGAAATAGATCCCGAAAATTTTGCATTGAGCTTTGTTTTATCGGCAGGCACGTACATTTCTAACGGCACACCCCAAAATAGTCGGTTCTTTTCTAACCAATCAGCCTGTTGCTTGTTATTTTGAATTATTACACCGTACAACAAGATTTTGGTTTAATTATGCCCTTCACCATACTGTGGTGCAGGGTATTATGTATCTGTGTTTATGTTTGTAACAGGCAAAAGGAAACGAGATAGGCACATGGTTACTTTTGAGAATATGCATATAATCACTTTCTGAGTTGATTTATGCATGTCCGTCCGTCTGTTTATTTTAAATTGTAAACAAAGTATAGGTCGCATTTTTAATCCGGCCCAAGGACGAACCCTATTGAATTTGCAGAAAATCGGTTCAGATTTAGATATAGCTCCCATATATAGTTTCGTCCGATTTTAGGTAAATGTTCCATCAAATTCCCTGCAAATCTTTTTATTTGAACGACTTTTGGCATAGCGTACTGAATTGAGCCGAAAATGATGTCTGCCAAGTTTCGTGAAAATCGGTCCTGATTTAGATTCAGGTCCCATATATAGTTTCGTCCGATTTCATACAAATGGTGCACCAAATTCGCTATATATCCTTCGATTTGCACGAAATTTGGCATAACGTACTGAATTGAGCCTAGAATGATGTCTGCCAAGTTTCGAAAAATCGGTCCAGATTTCTATATAGCTCCCATATATAGTTTCGTCCGATTTCATGTAAATGGTGCACCAAAGTCGCTATATATCTTTCGATGTGCACGAAATTTGGCATAACGTACTGAATTGAGCCTAGAGTGATGTGTGCCTTGTTTCGTGAAAATCGGTCCAGATTTAGATATAGCTGCCTTTTATTATAGATTGATTTTAAGTAATTGACGCACCAAGGAACCTATAGGCTGATAGGAACAAAACGTTCTGAAATTAGTATAACCTAACCTGTGACAAGTTTGTTTGAAATCGCTTAATATTTGGATAGAGCTTCCATATATATTTTCGCCCGATTTCAAGTAAATTGGGCATCAAACTCCTCATGTTAGTCAGATTGACATCAAATTTTGCACAATTTACAAAATCGAGCATAGAATTACGTAGTTGCGTTTTGTAGAAGTACAGACATAGCCCAACGGATGACCTATTTATATTTGTTTGAAGTCGATTTACATACTTTATGACATTTAGATAAATATCACATATTTTATTTCATCCAATTTCATGTTAATAGTCCTGTTTAATATTCCCATAGTGGTGAACGGTATCATATAGTCGGCCCGTCCGACTTTACTACTTTCCTTACTGGTTTTTTCATAGATTTAAGAATGGTATGTGTTTTTAATAGATTCAAATGTATATGTAGATCACATATTTAACTTCGCCCGATTCTATTTCAAAAGATATTGTATATGTTGGCTTCTTTTGTATATACCCAAAGTGGTGAAGGGTATCATATAGTCGGCCCGACTTTTGAACTTTCCTTACTGTTTTTTATTATGGGGATGACAACCCCTGGCGAGTACATTAAGAAAACAGAGGGTCAAATTCGCCATAAGTCAAATTTTTGAGTTATGGCGTAATGTGTTTTTGCTGGACAAAATTTGGTCAGCTCCAAAAAACCAAAACACTCTTTTAGGCGACAGACGATTTTCCGACTCCAAATAAATCTTCTTTGGTTTCACAAATTTCTCGGCTTGATTTTTTGGAGATCACTAACTTAAAAATTAACAGAAAAACAAGCGAAGATTAATTTGAAGCCTGAAAATAGCCCGGGAAGCAATATCGCCTGAAATAATTAATTTATAAAGATGTGGGAGTGCCCTCCAGAATAAAGAATACGCACCGAAAAATTGATTTTAATAGCAGCCAATTAGGTTGGAACTCCCCAGAATACCGAAATATTTATGATGGAGCGTTATATTGGGGATACGCTAAAACGTGGTCAAATATTGATAATTTTTGGTAGTATAGCAAATCTTCCTACCAAAAAAAAAAAAAATATTCGTAATTTTTAGTAGGAAGATTCTTAACCCAGTGATAATAGCAATGTAGGTACATATTGAATATTGCGAGCTCTATTGTGATTTCAACAGACGGACAGATATAGAGCTTTATTCCTATCAATAATCTATATACTTCATAGGGTCTCAGGTGAATACTTTAAGGTGTTGCAAACTGAATAACAGATTTAATATGCACTTTCCCTTGTGGTGCAGGGTATAATCACATTTATTGAGTTTTGTTGAAATTGGTTCAGATTTAAACAGAACTCATACATATGTTTTCGTCCGATTTCCTTCAAAAAATGCCTCGCAAACTTTTGTCACATTCAGATGCCATTTTGGACTGCGCGCTGTGTTGTAGCGTGCCAGATGACGGGTGTAAACTTTGCTTTAAATCAATTAGAATTTACCTATAGCTCTCCCACATAATTGTTTTCGATATGAGATTTTGCATAGCTTGCCGTTTCATATAAATATAGAACACATCATAACTGATTTTCAATGATAACTAACTGGTTTTACCTAAAGTAGATATTATATATTTATAATTTAAAACTCTAATTGATATGCTATCAATAAAAGTCCGATTTAATGTAAATGGTGCATCAAAGACCCAAAGTTAAGCCGATTGACACAAAACTTTCCACAATGTACAAAAATTAGTATAACCTTACGTGTGGAATGTTTAATCGAAATCGGTTCAGATTTAGATATAGCTCCCATATATAGCTTCGTCCCATTTTAAATAAAATGTGCACCAAAGACCCAAATATAGGCCGTTTGCCGCAAAATTTTGCACAACGTACTGAAATTGGTATAGCCTAACGTGTGTCAAGTTTTGTTGGGATAGGTTCAGATTTAGATAATGCTCCCATATATGGTTTCGTCCGATTTTAAGTAAATGGTGCATCGAAGACCCAAAGTTGAGCCGATTGCCATAGAATTCTGCACAACGTACTGAAATAAGTATAGCATAACGTGTGCCAAGTTTTGTTGGAATCGGTTCAGATTTAGATATAGCTCCCATATATAGTTTCATCCGATTTTAAGTAAATAGTGCACCAAAAACCCAAGGTAAGGCCGAGTGCCACAAAATTTTGCATAGCGTGCTGAAGTGAGTATAGTCTAAAGTGTGTCAAGTTTTATTAAAATCGGTTTAGGTTTGGATATACCATATATGGCAGATTGCGGCAAAATTTTGCTTCTGTAAAGTTTCGTTGAAATTGGTTCTGATTTAGATATAGCTCCCATATATAGTTTCGTCCGATTTTAAGTACTTCGTGCACCAAAGACCCAAAATTAGGTCGATTGCCGCAAAATTTTTCTCAATGGACAGAAGTTACTGAAGCCCAACTTCTCCCATATATATTTTAACCCGATTTTAAGTTAATGGTGCACCAAAAACCCAGAGTTAGTTCGATTGACATAACATTTTGAGCAATGTACTGAAGTTACTACAACATGACGTTTGAAAGATTCGTTGAAATCAGTTCAGATTTGGGTATAGTTCCCTTATATATTTCCGTCCGATTTTAAGTAAATGGTTCACCAAACACCTCATGTGTGTCGGATTGACATGGAATTTTGCATAACGTATACGATTGAGCATAGAATGACTTAACTGCGTTCTGTAGAAATGCAAACTATCCCATATTAGTTTTCGACGGACTTCGTGTTAATTGGGCTCCAAAATATTAACGGGTGACCGATTGATATTTGCTTTAAATCGATTCACATAATACTGACTACGTTATTGCAAAAACAAAGTATTATGCCTTTGTGCATATGTTGCACAGTGGGAAAAAATACCGATCTAGCGCGCAGAAAATAAAAAAATGAAGTTGAAGGAAACTTTAACACATTAATGCAGTTTTAAAGTAGAGTGTTGAGAGTACTTAAGTCCGTATAAAATAATCCCAATTAATAAGTTAGAACGGAATAACGGTACATTTAAAATAGAATTTTTTCCAATGTTAAAAATGGTATTTTTTAGCTATAAAATTGCGATGGTAGTGTGCATTCTGTGAATATATTATTATAAAATTTTGTCCATTTTTGATATAAAGTATTGGTATTTAATTAAATGGTATAGTTATATAACCCATAAGTTATTTTAATTTAGATGTTTCGGGCTAAATATATG